TCTGGTTTCATCTCAGTGGAATCAATTGTGGTCACTGGCTATGCTAAATAATTTGACGGTATTACACCTTTACTGCCAATCGGTATCTTAAAGATCATAAGTCAAAATTCCCAGTTGTCTGCTAAAACACCTGTCGCCTGTTCTTCAGAAACAACCCGCTTCTGCTGTATTGCGCGTAGCAGGGCGCGCAAAGTAAGTGTCCGTGCCATTGCGAACCCCAGAGAACACATGATACATGAAAAAAAAATAAAGCCCTTAATTTGTTCTCCATCATCGTCATTATCAACAAGTGCAGGTACTCTTTAACAAATATTTTATTTGCTTATCACAAAAAGTATATGTACTCAATAGGAGGCACTTGATAGTGTAGTCTTGAAGCATAATGATCTTACCTAAGGTAGAATCAATAGAAGGAATTCTTCACACTAAGAGGCACACAACAAGGACCAAGGGCCAGCCTATTCGGCTTCGTTGGACTTATTTCATACCTTTAAGGAAAGTGGCTAGCCAGTAATGTGAAAATTGCAGTCACTACGCACATTCTCCATTAATCACAAATTATACCAGCCTTGATAGCATTAATAAAATAGAGCGATACATATCCATTCAACTGCGTCAATCGCTTACAAACATTCCAAAAAGAACAACACAGTTGCAGCATAAAAAGAAGGAAAAAACCCAAGACAACATAAAGGAAGTGAGAATTGATAGAATACAAAAAAGGAAAGGAAGGAATCAAGTCACCTAATATGTCATCACATTATCTCGATCACAAATTCAGGGCACATCACGTAATGATAGAAGCGAACAAAACCTACTACTCAAGCGAGGAATGTTTCCACTCTTATCAACATTGCCCAACAAAAAGTATGTTTAAAAAATAAGCAATCTAAAATAAGCTTCGTTCCGGATGCAAATAAATATTAAATGTGCCGTTGCTATTCGTATTCGTAAATTGGAGCTGTCACATCCTCCGACATTCTCGTTCAAGAAAAGCCACCTGCATTGTTGGTGT